ATTTCACGTGACATTGTACCCATGCTCCTCCTCGCCCTCCACTTACCCTCCACTTTCCCCTCGTTTTGATTTACCTTTCCTTCCACCACGACAAACTATTTGCAATGGTCGAAACAAATCAAGAACCCCGCAAATGGGTTGGTTATCCTTCTCCAAAAGAAGGTCCTAATATACCATTTATAAGAACGGATGACAAGAATCCTGCATTCCGAGGATGGCTTTTGGTGGTAGTTGGATGGCTGTATGTATTGTTCCCAGCCCAGTCAGAGCTGTATCCCACTAACGTCCCAAAGTGTTTCCAAAATTGGGTTCATTCAAGGTCCCTTGTGGAACAATGCGAAAATGAATGCGTTGAGAAATATTAAGGGTTTGGATGAGTACTTTGAAAGATGGGATGTGAGTTGGAGTATTTCATCTGATACGGTGGATGGAGATTAACAATGCACAAACAGCCTACAGTAATTCCACTCGCGATTGATTCACCATCTAATGCAGCATTGGATGATTCCGATATCAGGTCCGTTCCTGTCGTCCCAGAAGACTCGGCTGAACGATATCGTTCGGTGGCTGAATACCACACCCTTTATCGCACCGGAAAATTAACCCCACTAGCCGTCGCGGAATCGCTTCTTCCCCTGATCAGGAGAGACATTAGTCCGCCAGGAGCTTATTCCGTTGCATTTACTGAGAGTAATGTTAAAGAAATCCTAGAAGCTGCTAAAGCATCAACTCTGCGATACCAGCAAGGCAATCCTTTGAGTATTCTCGATGGCGTTCCCACTGGTATCAAAGACGACAGTGATGTTGCGGGATATAGAAGTCATGGAGGAAGAAGAAAGAATGATTCATTGTTTATTGCTGCGAAGGAGTCTACTTGGATCGTTCAACAATGGCAAAATTCTGGTGCTCTTATCATGGGGAAACTAAATATGCATGAGCTTGGTTCCGATACTACTAATAACAACCCAAATTGGGGCACTCCAAAGAATCCGCACAATTACCATTATTACCCCGGCGGTTCTTCCGGGGGTCCTGCTTATGCAGTTTCTTCTGGGCTAATTCCTTTTGCTCTTGGTTCAGATGGTGGCGGAAGTATCCGCATTCCATCATCATTCTGTGGTCTCTATGGATTAAAGCCTTCACATTCACGAGTTGAGAACACTGGAAGCACGGTTACTGTTAATGGTCCTCTTGCATCAACTATGGCTGATCTCGAAGTGGCATATCGAATTATGGCAAAGCCTAATCCATCTGACCCGGTTGCCGCGCTATTTAGTCCTCCAGAATCCCTTCGAACTGCACGTCCAAAAGTCATCGGAATCTATAAAGATTGGTTCGACCGAGCTGAACCATCTGTTCATGATCTATGTACCAGATTTGTGGATCACTGTGAAAAGTCTCTTGGCTATACTGTTGTTCCAATCACAATTCCGTACTGTCCTGAGGGTCAACTTGCCCACGCTATGACTATTCTCACAAATATGGCCTCACGTGCAAAGAAATTTCCATTTTCGGCCTCAAATTGGCTCAAGGATGCGACTCCCTCAAACAAGATACTTCTCACAATGGGTGCATATACTCCAGCTCGGGACTATCTCCTCGCCCAACAACTTCGCAACCTGCTCATGCAGCATCTGTCTTTCCTTTTCAAGAAATACCCCGGTCTCATCATCGTTACTCCTACTACACCAATACCAGGCTGGGAAATAGAACACGAGGGAGACTTGCAACATGGAGCATTCGATCCAAATAAAAGTCTTAGGAATATGGAATACGTATGGTTGGCTAATTTCACGGGTGTTCCGGGCATCAATTGTCCAGTTGGTTATGTGGATCCGAAAAAAGGAGAAGGTAAAATCCCAGTAGGGATAATGGGGAGTTCGGAGTGGGGAGGAGAGGATCTTTTGATCGAATTTGGGAAGGAGGCTGAAGCTTGGCTGGGAAGGGAAAATGAAGGAGGTGGAAGGAAATTGCCAAGGGGCTGGGTGGATGTTGTGAAGGCGGCAAAGGAGAAGGTGGATGGGAAAGTGGTTGAGCAAAATTAATGAGCAGGGGTCAGAAGGGTGAATCTAATGATTATAAGCTTCCCTGTCTCAAGGTTAGGTTCGGGTTCAGCTATTTCTTCTACTTTCAGACCAAATGCTGGTGTTCAACGTTCATCCGAGCATCAGAGCATATATACCTAATCATCAAAAGCATGTCATATCAAACCCAGCACACGGCTAAAATATCTATCAATCCTGAGTATTGGCCTTCTCTATTTTGTCACTCATATTCGTATCCGTTTCAAGCGAAACTGAGTGAAGTCGAGTCTTTTTCAAGGTAAGATACACAATGTAGGCAGAATTGCATCGCCTCAGGTCAATTCTGCTGATTATAATAGCCAGGAAGCTTCGAATATGCTGCCACAGCACGCCGTTTAACGCACTAGGTGTATGCGCGTTTCAGATAGTTAGCATTCTATTCCAACTTCAAAACAGCTATCGAAGTTATAATTGCTATTTAACTAATGTGGTCCTCGCGATGTATTGGCCGCAATTCTCTCGGTAAAATCATCTGGTTATCGTGGTGGAATATCAGCTTATTGGGTACAATCTCAATCCGTGAACTTGTGATTAGTCGCTTGTGGGTGTCATGGAGGTAGTAGAGAAATACGGATACATCAAGTATTTGCAGTGATTTTACTCTAATACTTCTTGTGCTCGGATCTACCACTGCGTTTGGGTCATTTGGTTTTCATATTTTGCTTGCGTTGTTTAGTACTTAAAATCGGGAGAGGAATGCTCAGCGAGTACAAGCATGATAGGCTAGACTCTCCGTCTTTTTTCAACTCTCCAAATTCTCCTCTCTCGCTAGGACTGGCTTAAAGTTTTCCGTGTTCAGTAACCATCTCATGATTTTGAATGGAGATTATATCGAGCTAGATGTTGAGTCAACATCATAAGGCGTTGGTAGAACTTCCGGTCCTCAAATTATTCTTGACGCTGAAACATTTGCGTTTGCCGCACGAAGATTGATATCTGGAGACGAGTATTTGACACTTTTGCGAAAGTATGGAAGGAAGTTGTCTCAAGAATAACTCTTGTCTCCGCGATTGATAGATCAGTATTACCTCTATGATTTTAACAGAACTTTTTCTGTTTTCACAGATACCCCAGACCAATTCCAAAAATACAGATCTAGCAATAGCAACACGACTAGCAGAGCCAGATCATCTAAAAACTTGCATAATTGAATCCGGAGGCTTCTACAAATAGAATGCTGGAAACAAAAGAATGATGTACCAGTTGTACCGCCTCCAACTACCACTTAGTCATACTCTTGATTGGTGGATGATCTTGCATGATAATTGGTCGATGCAGTTTCAACAAGATTCTCCTGTACAAAAATCAAGAATGAAGCAATTTGTTAATCATTTTCACAAACCTGAAATGCCCAAATGGAAAAACACCAAATGCTAAGGAAAAGTTACATTGCCTGTAGTTACAAAGTTGCAGCTAGAATTGACTTGAATGCTGATTTGGTGAACTGAAGTGAGGTTGTTTACTGATCAATCGGAAATGAGCTAGTTGGTCAGCAGAATGTCGAGCAAGGAATTCCTTATTTGGTCCATTTGGCTTCGATGAGATTTGATTGGTGGGGTGGCATTCGGATTGGGAAATTGCATTGCACATGGGAAGCCGCAGGTTTTGGGGCTTATTTCTCCACTTCGGTTTTTTGGACCACCCAATCGTTCTTTCTTTCCTTGTTAAACTTATCGCATTGCCTGTTATTGCGTTTGACAAAGTTGTCAAATGTTCATCAGCCGTAAATTTCGAGGAATTAATACACCGATGCCAAATGAAGGGACGACCAACAACTTCAGAGAGCATCTATGGACAAAAATAGTGAGCTTCATTGTGTCCAATCGAAGCTGCACATTTCATTTGAGCAACTGAAGACAATAATCTAAGTCAAATTCTGAGGATGATTTTGTGCTAACAGATGTCCATTTTTTACCTGATGCCGAGCCTTGGACTACGTATATTGAAAATCATGTGTCATGGCAAGTGCTGAAGGCATACTTCTGGCGGAATGGCAGTGCATGCTGTACCTTTGTTATCACTCCTATACGGACGCATTGTAAGGCTTGTGTGGACTCAATAAGTTCAAAGATCATTCGAGTGGATGAAATTCGGGCACAAAAACGCTGAATCAGGCTTTTTGAAGCCTAGATATGTTGTGTATGCCTCTCGTACAATTTTCTTGCAGCTCTGTGGCTGTTGTGTTTGCTTCGCCCTCTGTTATAACATTTAGTGACCATTTCGCCCGTTTGAATGTCCGCCTATGTTGAGCCTTATCATAACACATTCCCTCGCAGTTTCAGTACCCATAACAAAGCAGAATATTGCACACTGAGCCTGAAATTCAAGATTTAGGTTTGGATTCTATTCACATGATGGACCCGCTATCAGTGAGCGCCAGCATCTCTGGATTGGTATCCATTCTCGACCTCATAGCTGGGAAGAGTTACAAGTATGTCAAAGAAGTCAGAGGATCTACCCATAAAGTCAGAAAACTCGTCAACGAAATGACTGATCTATACGGTATTCTAAATCAATTACGCCTAGTAGTTTCGCGTTTTGACGACGAGTCAATCTCTTCCACCATTCAACTCCATCACATAGATGCTTGCCGAACACTAATTGACAGGATCAAAGAGAGATTGGATAAAGCTGATCGCGGCAATATCAGCAATCAAAATTCGGCGATTGGCCGGGAAATTTCAAATTTAGGTCGAGCTCTAGCTGAAATTTTAACTTGAAACTGATGAGAAACGTCTTGCTTTCTAGGTTTAGCATTCTTTTATTGCGACCAAAAGGATACAAAGACACAGGATCCTCTGAACATCTTGGGTTCTCTGGTTAGGCAACTTGTGTTAGCCACGGTACCAGTACCATGTGCTTCCACATAAATCACATCTTGCGGCCGCAAACCAACGTCGGCATAAGTTTCTTGAATTAGGCTAGCTTGGGTAATACAATTTGGATGATCCCTGAAGCGGTATATCCATCTTGGTTTATTGCAGAATTAAGAACGATAGACTGGGTTGGATCGCGGTCCCTCAGAGCATCGCTCAAACACTTCAGTACGACCACAACGAATCCCTCGCTGCGACCATAGCAATCACCACGATTATCGAAGGGATAAAATCGACCATTAATATTGATCATATACTGATTGCTCATAGAAATATAATGATCGGACATCAATTGCAAGTTGGCCGCAGCAACCACGGTCGCATTGGACTCGTTCTTGCGTAGACTTTGGCATGCTTGATGAAATGCAACGAGCCCTCCTGAACAGCCTGTATCAATTGTCACAGACGTGCTATGCAGATCAAATATATGGGAGATGCGGTTTGCGAGAATGGCCGTTCTCGTACCATGACTCTGATATACGGGTAGATTTAGAATATCCTTAAAAAGATTTCGTTCATAATCCATCCCAAAGCTAGCGGCAAACACCGCGGTGCGCGAGCCTGCACACTCTTCACGTCTCCAACCAGCGCTCTCAAACGCCTCGTACACTAGCTCGAGCAAGATTCGTTGTTGTGGATCCATCGCGGCAGCGACAGGCTGCGAGATGTGGAAAAAAGCATGGTCGAAGTCGCGGACATCGCCATCTATGAAGTATCCTCCTCGGTGTTTATTCTTACCATTGGGGTCATTGAGATCGGGGTGATAAGACGCTATTTCATTGAAACGACCTGCGGGTACAGTTGACCATGCTTCACCTCCATTGGCGAGTAGGTCCCACGGAGAATCAAGGCTGTAAAATTGATATAAAAGATCGATGTAATACTTTACCAAATTGGTGAGCTATACAAGTAAGAATGCGGCACTGTAGGTAATAGAATCCATATGGAGACGAGGGTGCAGAATCACGAGCATGTGAGACTAACGTACCAATGGCACCGGCTCTACCGGCCCCGTTTGTCTTCCAAAACAGACTTCGGGGATTATGTACATCTAAATTCTACCGTTTCTTGGCTTTAAAGAGTGTCAGGGTTAGTTTCACACAAATTTCGAGGTAATAAGAGTCGACGAATAATTAGATAGGATTAGGACGATATAGTTCCAAGGCGGCTTTTCAGCTATACAGTAAGGTTGAGTTCACTCCACCAAAACCTCTTCACGGTGTAACATATGAATATACATGCATAGCCTCACTCCGTTCGGTCTCCTGCTGTGTCCTACAGAACGTCCAATTCTGGCAGCCGCTATCGTGCATTGGGCGGTGTAAGACAGCATGCCAGCTATCTTGCAGGAACAACCCTTGAAGCTATCACCACTTTCTTCAAATGCCTAGTTGCCATGTCAACTTGGTATTCATCGACTGAAGGACTTGCAAAACTAGCCGTGTGTCTTTTGTATAAACAACTTTTTCCGCAACGGTCAATCCACTTGATCGTAAATATTACAATGGCTCTTCTAATCGGTGCGTCAGTTGGTGGTGGCCTTGCTGATTTATTTGGATGCACTCCATTTTCTTCCCACTGGGGCACCGCTGAAGAACAAGCCAAGGATTGTATAGACACAGAAGCCTTGTTTGTTTGGGGCAGTTTTCCCAACATTTTGACTAATGTAATAATGCTCATCATCCCGCTTCCAGTTATTTGGAAACTACACGCTTCTATCTGGATGATAATAGGCCTCTTAACTACATTTCTTGTCGGCAGCATGTAAGTCCCCGCTCCCCTTGTCGTTTTAAGTTAGTTTTCAAAATTTCACCAGCTATATTAGTGGGCTTATTACCTCCGTCTTGTGTTTCAGGGCTTTCTATAAAAAGAGCTCTTTTACTGATCCTACTTTCAATGCCGTTGAGCTGATTATTTGGACTGTATGCAAACCTAGCGTTTATTTGTTTAAGTTGAATACCCCACTTTCTGGTCACTCTCGGCTAACGGCATCGCAAATGACGTAGTGAAAAGTGCATCGCGCCAAGATGGTAGCACGGCATTAGGTGTATAGTTTTCATACGTTACATTTGCTGTAACAGAAATAATCTTACCACCACTATCAGTGATCTTACGAAAGGTTTTAATAAGTGCAGACAGAGTAACATCCACGTCTTGTACCGTTGAGCGTGGTATTAGTCGGCTTCCAAGCGAAATGTTACTAGTATACACTTGCTTGGCCTAGAAATTATAGTGTTCCGCAAAGATGGTACGGATATCGGCAGCATAACTCTCACTGAATGAGATGTTGAGTGCCTTTAACTCGTTAAAAAACGGTGCCAGGGCGGTATCGGCGTACTTAGAGATGTATTTCCAAGAGGTAGCGTAAGAAACACAGCGATTATCCTCGTTAAGCGTGGCATCTTGTGGTAAAAAATGATATCTGATTGCAGAAATTGCGGAAAGGTGATTTGCTTTAGGCATATTTATTCTCCTTGATTTTTGTTCTCTTGCCCTATGCACTTCGAATATCAATCACTCTTTTACTTGAATGGAAGCCGCTTTTGCAGACACATGCACAAGGTAAGATAACCACGAGCTGGTTTTAGGAAATTACGCCGCGGCTAAGCATCAACCTTGCATATTGGTCAAGTGGGGGTGATGCAGTAATGCGTGCGTTCAAATATTAACATGCATATGACTCTTGAACCAGCGAGTCTTAGAGGCAATATGTGTACGGACCACCTTCCAATCAAAATAACTCCATAGTGACAGGCAACATAGAATCAACGTAGTCCACCACTTCCACTTCTTGAAAATCACGATAAATCAAGGCAGTGTAGTAACATTCCTACTCGTGTCCAATATCTCGAAATCTTTTCCCAACCTTCCAAGGCTCAGTTTCGAAGCCACTTTTACGTGATGGCAGCTAACCATGAGAGCGTTGCGCAATGGCAAGATGCTTTGTTGCCTCATATCGTCGACTGATTAGCTCGGGATAGGCCAGATGCCAATTATGGCGAATGGGTAACCAGCTCTAGTGTAATCACCATCACCTACGCACAGATGGCCAACATCGTCAATGGTCTGGCTTGGTTGCTTGTGGAACAGCTTGATGGTCCTGGTAGCTATGGCGCTCACGCCGAGGTTTTGGCATATGTTAGTGCGAATGATGTACGCTACTCGGCATTGGTACTTGCTGCCAATAAATCTGATTATACGGTTCGTACGCTTACTGTCGTCTCTGTCTTGATTAAATGTACTGATATGCTTATGCTTCTTAGATATTTGTAACTTCACCCTGAAACAGCCCAGCGGCCCACCGTGCTTTATTTTATCGACTGAAATGCCGCACTTTGATTACATCAAACCCCATTCCACCGCCTGATAATGCTATTTTTGATGCCGTCAAACCACTACATCATTTTACGGTCCCGTCGGTTGGAGAGCTTCTTATCAAGCAGTACCCGGCTCATACATTGGACAAGACCTTTGAAGAGCTGCGACAGATCCATATAGTCGTAATTTAAGGCTTGCTATGCGTTCTTATTCTACTTTACAGCTAACAGAACTTCTAGGCATACATCTGGAAGCACAGGATTACCCAAGCCTCTTATTTGGATACATGAAACATGCACACAGATTTTAAATGCCAATGGCTGCCAGGCACCCGGCGAAATTCCTTCCGTAAACACCTTGATCAGTGGTAAGCGTATCATTGTAACGCTACCACCATTCCATGTATGTCATTCTAAGTTGATTACAAGACTGAACCTGATAACTTTGTAAGGGCGCTCTCCTCGCACAACTCTTGGTTGGTGCTATTCCATATGGAAATTTTGTTATTGCCCCGGTAGCATCACCTATACCCACTGCCCAGGGTGTTGTAGATGCCCTGAAGCAATCGCCGGCTGATGTAGCAATACTAGTGCCTTCTGTGGTGGCCGAATCAGCGCATGTATGTAATGACCTTTCTTCCTGAGTCTTGGCTGATGGAGACCGTTATAGAATGATGAACTGCTTGACTACTGCGCTGCTAATCTCAAAACGATCATTAAAATTGGCGGCGACCTCCCTTAAGACCTAGGTGATCGTGTTGCCTCCAGAATATATCTTCGTTGTCTGTGGGGGGCTACTGAGACCGGAATTGTCCCTCAATTACTTCCATCAGAGTTGCTTCCATCGGCATTAGGCCGGACTTTGTGGCGATACGTAAAATTTCATCCATGCATTGGCGCTATTTTTGACAAGACGAGCAGCGGCATTTATGAGTTGGTGGTCCAACGTAAGAAGGCGCTCGCCGATATGCAGCCATGCTTCACCGTCCCAGGGATGCAGCAGCTTGAAGAATATCGCACTAAGGATGGATTTGTTTGAACCGCACCCTAGTACCCCAGATCTGTGATGTTGGCGTGCTCGGTCAGACGATATTATTGTTTTTCTGAATGGCTAAGACAACCCCCATTTCGATGGAACAGAATATCATGGCTATCAACCCTGAATTAAGCGGCGCACTTGTCATCGGAGCCCAAAAGCTCCAGGCTGCTCTCCTGATTGAGCCAGTTTTGGATTTACCTCTTACAACAGCAGAACAGGCTGCTCTTATAGAGCGAATATGGTCGGGTGTTGAAGAAAGTAACCGTACTGCTCCGTCTCATGCACGTGTTGAGAAATCTTTCGTTCTCGTCATCCCCATGGACCGCCGCCTAATTCGTGCCCCCAAGGGAAGTTTTATGCGTGGTTCTAATATCAACCAGTACACCTAAGAAACCGAGAAGCTTTACAAAAATGCAGATGTTTTGTCGATTAACAACGATGATTTGACTAGCGATACAAGGCAACATGTCGCTCCAGCAGGCCTTGGTGGAACTACGCGTCTTGTCCGGCAACAAATCCTTGCTGTAACAGGTTGGCCAAGTCTCGACAATGATGACAATCTCTTCGATCGTGGTATGGATTCACTCCAAGGTCTCCAGCTTACGCGTACTTTACGACGTATCTTTTACCATCCTGATTCTGCCCTTTCGACTGTATATCAAAATCCCACCGTATCCCAACTGGTAGCCGCCATTCTTACACCTAACGAAACTGTTCAAAGTGAACGGGGGTCTATAGAAGGTTTACTTGCTATATACCGCAAACTCATACATCAAATACCAGTATCTAAAGAGACAGCTGAGCATCCCAAGCAGGCATTGTAGGTACTCATTTATTGCAAGCACTACTTAGTCGCGATAGAATTTCACGCATATTTTGCTTGAATCGTGGGAAAGATGGCGGGAGAGACACACAATACAACAATTTTGTTGCAGCTGGAATCCCTACAAGCCAACTTGACAAACGTATTACTTTTATCAAAGCCAATGTCGAGTCACTATTCCTAGGTCTAGATAGTACTTTATACGACTCGCTCCGTTCGGAGGTCAATCTCATTTTCCATGCAGCATGGCCTGTCAATTTTAACCTAGTACTATCTGCGTTCCGTCCACAGCTTGCCGCGTTGGTGAACTTGTTCACTCTAGCTACTTCTGCTACTTCTCCCACAGTACGGTTCATTTTCATATCATCAATAGCCGCTGTGGAGGGCATAGACACGGTCCAGCTCCCGAGAAAATCCTCGAAAGCCTCGATACACCTGCACCTTTTGGCTACGACCGCGCCAAATTCCTTGCAGAGCTGCTTGTCGACGCTGGTGGTCGGTATCTTGGAAACAAAGTACCTACGACTGTTATTCGCGTGGGTCAGGTCGCCGGTCCTATGCACAGCCCTGGTATATGGAATCCACGGGAGTGGCTACAAAGTGTAGTGCTCAGTTCCCTACACTTGGGACAGATCTCCAATAGCCTTGGTCCAGGATTTGACAATGTCGATTTTGTGCCTGTAGACTTGTTGAGCGATACACTAGTCGACCTAGCTACGGCTGCAACGACACGAACAGCCGATAACGCTGCGACAGTTTTCAATCTGTGGAGTCCGCAGCTGGTATCTTGGGCCACGTTGTTGTCTGCTATTGTGGCAATTCAGCCGCTTCAAATAGTGTCGCCTGCGACATGGCTGGCTAGTTTGCGAGCGAGCAGCGAGGTAGATTATGAGGATGTGGCGGCGAACCCGGCTGTTGAATTACTTGATTTCTTTGAGGGCTTGTGGGTGATACACGCGGATACTGAGAAAGTGCCAATGCAGCCCGTGGTGGTGGAGAAGGCTCTCAAAGCAAGCCCTGCCATGCGAAAGCTAGATGCTGTTAAAGTGGAATGGATGCATAAATGGGATGAAGAATGGGTGGCTGCGAGGAGTTGATTATACTGTGTCCATCCCGGAGCTCGTGGATACGGAATGGCGAGCTCTTCTTCTCTTTCATGTAATTCATATAGTTTATAATAATATTGAGATCAGATTTATAATGTATAAAATATTGATATTTATATAGGAATCTGAATACCAAACGTTTAACAATGGCCGATTCGTATATAAATATATATTTTAAACATAATGGAAATAATAATATTTGGATTTGAATATAAAAAAGGGACAATGAATTCTATCACAACTGATGAAATATCTTGAAATTAATGAACTTTTGTTGTGTACAAGGATTAGATTAATTATATTAATACTGTAAAAATGATTTTTTTAATATACGATGAAGATATCATAAATTTTATGGCAATTATGAGAGGATCACTTCGTTAACCATGGATTCTGCCACCATAGGGTAGGTGGTACAGCTCTCTACTGTACAGCGGCAAATTCACAAGAGCAGACTCTAAAACTAGCGGAGCTGCTCATAGACCATGGAGCTGAGCTTGAAATCATCAAGCCATCACACGGCACACCTCTAATGGGCGCGTGTTACTATGGTTGTCATGACATGGTTGTGCTGCTTCTCAAAAAAGGGGCAAGAGCGATATGTAGTACACATGATGGGACACAAATGACTGCAGTTGAAGAAGCTAGATACCATTCTGACATAGTATCTTTGCTAAAGAACTAAGAGGAGAAAGGTGTTAAGGCATTGAACGAGCCCATGCCAGCTATACTTGCCAATATGGTGAGGGTTGAGGAGTGTATGAATTGGAATTCGGAAGAGGAGGGAGAAGAAGAAGAAGAAGGAGAAGGAGAAGGAGGAGAAGAGAAACGAAGAAGAAAAAGAGGAGAAGGAATGCGAGAAAAGTGATGAAGATGAAGGACGTGAGAATGATATATTTGAGAAAGACAAGGAGTAAAGGTTTTTTGGTTTGACAATAGACTAACGGCCTACTATGCTTGCTACGTTCAAGTATCTTGAAGTTACTTATTAATTCAACCATACAAGTCTGCATTAGCACTATGTTCCTTAAGCCCTGGCATGTCACTCAATGAAGGTTGTGGAAAGAAGATCCGAATGCTGATCCTGCTGCCAATACGACCATAGATTCGTCAACAATCTACCACTCAAGATGATGATCTCATGTCGCCCATTAAAATTCAAAATGCAATTTAGTGTCTTATTCATGATTCATCAAATCCTACTAGTTATGATACAGAACATTCAATAATTCATGATACACATCTTTTAAAGCTCTCATCTTCACAAATATCTCATTTGATATCGTTGGTTGGTGGCATGCCGTTGTGTACAGCTGAGAAAAGAAAACGCCACAATATAATTTCAAAACGCCACCATCGATTCGTGCATAATCACGTCCAATCAGCATCATACCTTCCGTTTATGGCTTCACACATATACGGTATTGAGCGGATATTGGTGGTTGTCAGTAATTCTGTGTCTTTCTTTGTATGAACCAGCAATGAACCCCCTCTCGTTGAGTCGTAGTTTCGTTCTTCTCGATAGCAGTGAATCTGATAACGTTATTTAAAAGTTTTAATACGACAGTGAATAATAGCTAGCTTTGGTTCAATTGTTTTTTCTTTAAAGTCCTCCCTTCCTTGGTTATTAAAATCTAAAATCTATGTCACCAAGTTGTTGCATTTCTCGAAACTCCCCCGTTCGGAACTTACAACCTCGACAGCATGGCTTTTTCTCTTATCTGGATATTCGTATCCATTCTCGTACTTTGGATCTCCAATGCGTACCTTTTGCTGAAACGAAATATTGCGATTGCAAAGACCACTGGACTTCCCTACATCATATCTCGTGAGTTAACTGTGAAACCTTCGTACCGTTGTGAGCTCATTAATGACTTTTGGTGTAGCAATCAACGGAATAGCCGGATTTCTCTGGACCGGTATCCATGACATTGTTTTCAGTATTCTGAAATGTCTACCATATTCTCAAAATTGGCTATATCCGATGATTATGTAAGGTCGCATTGCATTAGCATACATCCAATCAACTGACTCAAAGCAGGTATCTTGACCCCCATCGAGGATGGCACTATAGCCAGGAACTCCGTGAACTACATGGTGAAGCATTTCTCATCATTAGTCCTGGTCAAATATATCTTAGCATGTCTAATGCAGACACCATATACCAAATGTCTATCCGGCGGAATCACTTCCAGAAACCCGTTGAAGTATACGGAATTGTCGATTTGTATGGAAAGAATATTCTCACCACGGAGAAGGATGAATGGAAACGCCATAAGAAAGTTGTCGCACCTGCTTTTTCGGAAAAGAGTTATGCTATAGTGTGGAGGGAAACTATGAACCAGGCGTATGGAATGCTAAGACATTGGTCAGGAGCGAAAGATTCGGATGCGGAGAACCTGGAAGTTAAAGATACTGCACCGGATACTGCGGTTTTAGGTCTACATGTTATAAGTGGGGCTGCGTATGGCATTAGCCAGAGCTGGGAAGGAGACGATGAGGAGTTGGGTGACAATATAGTTCCCGGTTTCAATACTAATAAGCTTGAGGGTAGTCATCGATTGATGTTTAAGGAGGCTCTGGGTACATTGGTTCATGATATCATTTGGGCAGCGCTTGCTCCGATGTGGGTATACAGTAAGTGTAATTTCTTTCTTGGTGAGTCTGGACTAGAGGTGACATCTAACGCGAGCTTAGGTATCTCACCTTTCCACAAGAAGTGGTATCGGTCATTTGTCGAATGTGGTGACTATTTCAATGAGCTATTTGATCACAACCTGAAGGTTATTGAGAGTGGCCAGAATAAAGATTTTGGAGCAATGGGCATCATAGGTACTTAAACTTCGTGACTTCGTGAGAAATATACTAATCAAGAATCAGGTTCCTTGGTAGAAGCTACTCGACTCGAATCCTCGGATGATTCGAAGAAAATGCTCACAAAGCAAGAAGCGATAGCCGATTCATTTTTATTTCTCTTTGCCGGCCACGAAACCACATCTAACGCAATACACTTCATGATTCTCTTCCTATCTATTTCCCTCACAGCACAAGATCAACTTCAATCAACGCTTGATACAGTGCTCGCAGACAGGTCACCAGAATCTTGGAATTACGAAACAGATTTCCCAGCTTTACACGACAGTTTTGTTGGAGCCGTCATGAACGAATCTTTAAGAATCATGTCCCCTGTTATCGCCATTCCGAAGGTAAGCTTGGAATTGCGACAAATGGATGTTGACGGAAAAATTGTCACGATCCCGGCAAATACTTTTCTGCATTTCGATGTCATGGGTGTGCATCGAAACCCTCGTTATTGGCCATGCCAAAAAAGCAGGATTAGTGATAAATCGCACGATTTAGATGACTTTGTACCTGAGAGATGGCTACCCGGCTATGAGGAAAATTCAAAGGACAAGGCCTCCCCTGACGCTTCGAATGACAATCTACTCTTTGTACCACGCAGAGGAGCATTTATACCTTGGTCAGAAGGCGCTCACGCATGTATGGGGAAAAGATTCTCGCAAGTTGAGATGATGGCTGCTTTGGCTGTGATATTCAAAGTCTGGAGCGTTGAGCTGGATGTCAGAAAATGGGCAAGTGATGAGGAGATTGAGAAGATGGGGGTTAAAGATAGGAGAGTAGTTTACGAGAAAGCAATGGAGAGAGCGAGACGACTCATAAAGGAGAGTGAGACTGTTATTACGCTAAAGATGTCCGGAGAGCCTGTCCCGTTGAGGTTTGTCAAGAGAGGAAAGGAGAGATTCAAGGAATGTTTTATTTGAAGTAGACTCTTTGTTGTAATGGGAGTATCTAGGTTGGGGATGAAGAGGTACAGAGATTGACTTTCCAGTTTCTGTCTTATGGGTAGGGATGGGTAAGCGCTTGAGCTATCGAAGTTCACGTACCTCGAAAACTTTCGATTTCAGATACAATGATCAAAATTAATATTTCATGAGTGCTTTTGGGAATACAAATGGAAGACGCTATAATCCGTGAATCTAGTGTAGATACATAATATCCTAGAATTAACCAACAAACTTCACTTATCACATTGAACAAGTGATAGGCACTAGTCTCATTCCATTTTCATTTCTTTCATCCTCGCCTCATTCTGCTCCCACATCTGAGCACTCAGTATATAACGTATGAAGTAAAGATTCAAAAGCTCTTGCTCCTAGGTTCACCACTTATTTTGCAATTCGCGATCACCAGATATACTCAAACTTAGATTCCAGACCAAAGAAGATTGCAATACATTATTGGGTACAACAAGAACCTATATAGTGCAAGCACCACTGAACGATCAATAAGTTATGATTTGCAATCATAAACTAAAAGAATTTATCCCATTGTGTTAATCCAACTCAAAGAAGTAGTCCCAAACTACAGAAAACAAGACACCCAACTCCTCCTTTTATTCGCCTGCCATTCTTCGCCACCTCCTATCAAAAACTCCACAAGCTTTCACCCCTTAAAGTAATCTAATGAACCATCGTCTTTCCAATCTCACTTTTCCATCCCTTGGCCCTTTCAAATCCATTAGATTGGGTCTGGAAGTCCATCATCGCCTGATATACCTCCTCTTCTGAATTCAGGACAAAGGGGCCATATTGGACTACCTTTTGGTCGAGGGGTTGACCTGCTACTAGAACTATTAAACTCGTTAGTATGTATTCTCTCATATGCTATGAGAGATAACAATAAATTATCGGAGATAGATGAAAGATTGGAGAATTGTGACTCAAACGAGTAGTGCAGTCAAAGCACTTGCTTGGAATCGACCCCACGAACGAATCCCCCTGTCTATCTCGGCTGCAGTCTGACCCCACTCGGGTAGCATTCGGCCACTTCTTGCATATATTGACCCGCTCTTGCAAACTCTGCAACCAACCCTGCAACACAGCAGTCTGGACGGTGATTTTTCCACGTTCTATTATTGGCAAACAAGAAACGTTTTCCCATCAATTAAGCAATAACCAGCGTTTGTGGTTTAGTGGTAAAATCCATCGTTGCCATCAACCTCTTCCTTCATCAGAAGAGTGTGAAACAACCTCGATGGGCCCCGGGTTCGATTCCCGGCGAACGCATTATCATTTTGCTTTTCAGATTGATCTTAATCTGATAGATGATTGTCTTGCCACAGATTTTTGAAGTTGTGGTTGATGTTTGTGATGGGGAGGGGATTAGACAAGGTTGGCTTTTTTGTTCCTGCCAATTTTGGCCGCGGGTTTTCGGAGGTTGTGAAATCAAAATGAAGCGAGTACTAATTAAATGAATAAATAACTTACTAAAATGACCATTTTCTTTAGCAGACTCTTCGACTTCTGCATTCACCAGATCTCCCTCCTGACGAAATACCACATTGTGGAATTGTGCAATCTTAGTCTTCTCATCTCCACTTCCAAAGACCGTCTCCCCACTCAAAGTGTAAGCAAAAGCATTCCACCCAGCTGGTAATGATTGCTCAATCTTTCCACCCGGTTTGATTTCTACGTCGAAAATCCAAACTGGTGTATAAGCTAATTCTTGCACACTATCGACACCATGACTTTGTCCCGAAATAATCTTCACATGTACCTTTCCATCATCGATGTCAATTTTTGGGATTTCCTTGGCTCGTAAATCACGATATCGTGGCTCGCATTTCTTGAGTTTTTCGGGTAAGTCTACCCAAAGTTGCATTCCAACATTTGCGCTGCCATCGAGATTTTGTCGTGGCATTTCCGCGTGCATTATTCCTTTTCCTGCAGTCATGAATTGGAGATCTCCTGCTTCGATAGTGCCTGCGTTTCCTGCGAAATCTTCATGGTCGACAGCACCTTCGAGGAGGTAGGTTATCCTGATGAGGGGTTGTGTCAGTAGTAGTTTGATATGGAAAAACCAAATGATTAACTTACGTTTCTTGTCCTCTGTGTGGGTGATCTGGGAATCCAGCTCCAGGCTTAATGGTAAAATGGTCGAGCATAAGGAATGGCGAGAAGTTCTTTAATTGAGGTGTGCCAATCGAACGGCGAACTCTCGCTCCCGCACCCTCAGCTTGCTCGCGTGCCAAAAAGGCTTTTTGGATTCCTCTTGGTGTTGTCATATTGACTGCTTTTGATGTGCTAAAATATGAAGCGGATGGAAAATTGGAAAGTTGCTTTAGTGAAGGAATTGCGGTTGTGTCGTTGGTAAACAAGTTACTTATGCCTTCGATATACTCGATAATTGGATCTCTGAATATAATCGAGAATGCTGCAATGATAATTGAAAAAAAGAGGAGAAGCAACTTCATCTGGATATCGCGAGAGTTTTATAGGATATTTGAGAACGAATGAGAAACAAAAAGAATGTTCTTTGGGGGATACTTAAGGATTTGAACGATATTTGACTCTATTGAGCTTTTGATGATGAAATGCTTATCGGATTGCTTATGGATTGCTGATTAAGAGCCTTACACCTTGTTAGACTAAAGGTAGGGCTGACCAATAGACGCAAGAGAAAGTTTGAATTGTGGCTGGGGTTATTTGTAATGGATATATTTCATTGGTCAGTCTCGATTGCTCAGCATTTCAATTCACTGAATCAGCTTTTACAATCACAGCCTTGCCCTTACAAAGCGAGAATATGGTCACGTGAGTGCGTTACATGGACCAATTTACACGAATGAGCCTAAAAGGCAAACCTAAGGTATACAAGTCTCGCCATAATAGATGACTGACCTTGATTTTAGTTGCATGACAGGAGTGTCTAACCCTGTCCTCTTAAATCTATCAGATGTGGTGGTCTATGATTGTAATCGCAGGCAGAACGGCTGGAGTTGGATATGCCATTACCAATGCACTCAAGGAGCATAGTCAACATTAGATCATTCATAAAGCAAAGATGTGCTGTAAACAAAGGCTTTATTTCAGTACTCTCTATTGTTCAGCATATAGGAAGATTAGACATTTTCTGCCGAGAACAAAGTAGAAGGCGTTCAAATCGAGCGCGTATCACACGCTCAGGAGAGAACCTCGCTAGCGAAATTGCCGAAGTGTGCACGCAATAAAAGGACTCGAGCTTTCATTTTCTGGGAAGTTTGGTTCCCCCCGACAGTATCATACACTCCAGTAGATGGCGAAATTAATCAAGGAGCCCAGAGTAGCTATTCATACTCCATGATGAGTCATTCACTCGATCTAATAACCGTATGAGGTAGAGCCTGGTATGGCTTTCTCCAGTACCTAGGATATGTGAGAGTGGCTGTTTACTGGAAGTTCTAGCTGTGTTTAGAATGATGGCTGTCAGTTATCTTCTTGGGGTGTACTAAATGTAGCGTATTCTGGGATTGATTTAGTAGATCGCTTGCATATTACTGTGGAAATGACCATCACACTGGTTTTGAGAGGATGAGAAAGGCACTGAGTCACAATGTCTGCCGAGGATCTCACCTTGAAATATTTTTATAGCGAGATGCTTCATACTACTCATACAAAAGTTGGGTGGTCTAGCAAACAGTGCACTAGTGCCATCAGTTCTTTCCTATCTTGTATCGCGTGATACGTACGGTATTGTTATCAGGACAGACTACTTGATCCTATCCCAGAGCTTTCGTGTTCTGAATCTTTGTATCGAGGATGACCGACTTGGTGGTTATTCAAAGGCATTACCACGCAGATCGAAAGAATATATAACAATTCTTCCCGTAGTTAGGTAGGAGAACTTCCCACTTCCTGTATGTTGAACGAAGTCAGTGAATTTCGAGAATCACATCATGGTGACTATCATGACTTTGACTAAATTGAGGTGGAAGTTGATGTTTCAATGTACGTGCTCGAGTCAAATGCCCTTGGGGCCACTCATGAAGCTGCTATCTTTACGTCTCGGTTGTAACATTTTGTATGTTGAAAATGTAGTCCTATGGGAAACATATTTCTTCATACTAGAAGGATTGAGTTAGAATCATGCGTTATAATGATAAGCGTATGAAAACGCCGATTTCAGAATTAGGCTTGTTCTAGTTACTCAAGTCTACGTTCTGCCCAGTAACTACTCTTGTCAGAGATTTTGAGTCCGATATCATTAATAAACCCAGCAATCATTGTCAAAAAATCTCTACCAACAAAAATTCAACTTCTGATGTTTCATAATATTGCAGATATCATTACGAGTCGGGGGAATCAGTGACCAGTTAAACATGAAGTGACGAGTTGATATCAAACGGTCAAATCAATATTTCTGAAACAATATTTTAGGAATACTTGTGATTCATTGTGCCGAATAAGATAGACTGTGGTACTTCCAATCTTTCACATAGCCTAGATCAACTTTATGCTAATCCATGTAAAGTTCAAATTTCAATGATCCCACATTGGACCGCAATCTCTTAGATTCCGCACCCAACCATACCCATCAAGTCTCCTTCATATTTGTGTATATAATATCACCTATAGAGAAGAGATCCCGTTACGGCTTCATGACATGTCTCTCTGCTGCACCCTAGATTTTAGCAGGGCGTCATGAATCTTTCAGTGCTCTCTCTTGCGCTTTTTTCCGCCACTATCTCTCCTAATTCCCTTCTTTCCGCTTTGTCTCCCACCGGTCCCCCCCCTCTCTCATGCTCTGATATCTCCCCTTCCTCCTTCGAATTACTCTTCTTCCCTCGATCTTCTTTCACTCTCCCTTTATCCTGCAATATTACCTCACCACCGCTTCCACTACCGTCTCCCTTACCCACGTTGATTATCTCCTTCTTTCCACCAGACTCCTTATTCCTGACCCTTCGTTTTTTCTTCGCTGGGCCCTGCTCGCTGCCTTTCGACAGCTGTAATGTAGACCCCGTGATCTTGGTAACTTTATTGATCATTGGAGGAGGAACCATCTTCAACCCAAGTTGTGGGCATGGCCTCGACGGCGGAGTGAAGTTCAAGCTATGTGCAAATGAACTTGTCATCAAGCGGGGAGCCATACCTAACGGAATTCGAGGACCAGTTGGAGGAGCTCTGTCTAAACCCAGGGACCTTTGAATTTCTGCACGATGTAAAGCGGCACTTTGTGCAGCGGCTCGTTGTGCATTAAGTTGCTTTTGAATGAAAGCCTGTTGATCACGTAGAGTTCTGGGCACTTGATCTTGAACAGCTGGATGTTGGGTTCGAGCTTCCTTCGAAAATTTAGCACTCCGCTCTGTTACTTGAACTGAGAGTTTTGATTGAGCTTTCTTTTCTTGAATTACACGTTGTGCTTGGATTTCCCGAGCCTGTAATAATTTGCGTTGCAGTGTAGAAGATTTGATTGAGCCAGTCGATAATTGGGCATTTTGATTAGTAAATTCATTTTGAATTGGGACTCTACTAATGGAAAAGGCTTGAGACATTAATTTGGGAACACGGTCAGTAATAGTAGCGGGATTCACTTGAACATGATCGCCGACCTTTTCAGTGAGTGCAATAGCCACCGAGTAATCTATCTCTGCGTTTTGTTCCACTCCGGTCATCATATTAGAAGCACTAGCTCCATCATCCGAAACACCCTCCATAAATTCACCATTCGTCTCTGTGAACAGTCTTCGAAAGGAATTACCTGCAGTAGCTGACTGCAAACTAACATTCTCACCAAGAGGCTCCATATTCTCTGATACTAGAACCTGTGAGTTGTGGATTCTTTCGAGTTCTTTGGAATCATGTTCCTTTTGCAAATATTCGTATAATTTATGGCTGTAATTGTGCTCGTTGTTATTCTTACGAAGTTTCTCGTCCTTCAGTATTATGTAAGAGATTAGCTTCTGGTTCCATCCGGAGCGCACCTTATTGATAGCCTTCTGATTTTTGGCCTGCCTGAGACTACGGATGTAGTCGTAACCTAAAAATCGCTTAGTACCTTATCGTCTGTGAAAGAATGATCACCATCTTCTCACCCATACTTCGCAAAAGGCTCCCCAAATGATCTCTACTGATGACTCCATTCCACGATGGGCTCTTCTTTGTGACATTGGCTCCCAGATCATGATAATAGTTTGCATCGTAGTTTATGTCTTTCTCGTTGACAATAATGCCTTTGGTGGCACTTTTGAAGAAATCTTCGTTATATGTCTCGAGGGGGTCGTCAGGATGAGGCGCTCCTATTGAACGAACTATTTCCTCGCGAAAGGCAGCGAACTGGATTTGTGCTAGGGACTCGTCCGGTTTTTTGTCTTTTCGCCCAAAGCCCTTCAGGCATATCTCTCTATCATTGTCGTATCTCCACTTCCTATCATGATCCGATAGTATCGTGAATGCACGTTGAATGTCGTTCCATTTTTGTAAAAGTGCCTGTTCTTTTCCGTGCCATCTCGTTTTTTCATCATCGGACTGTGGATTATGGGTCAACTGTGAGTTATGGGTCCATCCTTGAACTTGTCAGCAGAGTTTGATCATACAGAACTATATTAACATACTCAATTCAGAGTAGGCCTTGTTTATGTCCTCAATCGAGGCAGATGAATCCAACGATAACACCTCATAATAGTCCATGTCTGGATCATGAATATACCGAACTCCCTGTAGATCCTCTGCATCCATTATAGTCTGTCCAACGTATTCTTTCTTTCTCGTCTTTTTGCCTGCTTTTGACATGCAGTTCATTCCTTTTGTGGTTTCGAGCTCTTCAAAGCCAATTATTTTAAGTTCAACATCCGTCTTCTTAGAAGCTTCCGCGCCCTAGAATCAACAAACAATATTAGCATGTATATTATATGTCTTTTATGTGACCAGTATTCACCGTCATGTGTGCTTCGAGGTCAGGTTGAGGAAAAACGCCAAATCGAGGATGAGTACCAGAGCACACAGCTTCAGCAAATCGAATGATCTTGACATATTGTTCAAACTCGAATAACTCCTGTGCTTCGTACTGTTCTACTTGGTATAGCTCATAGATAGTCAAGCAAGAAGAGCATTTCTTTGGTTCAAAATAATTCGTATTGAGTCTGCTAAGCTCTTCACTCGATGCCATGGTGGAAGACAACAAAGTACAGAATTGAAGTGCTGGTAGTATATTTTGTAAAGCATGAAGCAAAAATAAACGAGATGTGACAACAAATTCGTACCAGTATTTTCACAGTTGACTACCGCGAAAGAAAGAAGTTGATCTCAAATGTTGAGGTTATTCAAGCTTTTCACTTTGTTTACTTAAACGGTATTAAACTGTCCTATCGGCTGATCCATGTCCGAACCTCCGAAATGGTTTCTTTCTCGGATGAGAAAAATCCTGATTGAAGGAAGGCACGATGAGAGTCTTTTTCGTTTGTTGTTTAGGAAGGAAGTGTTCACGAATTCCTTGAATGGCACATGATTTTTGCCAAGGCGGATGGCTGCATAATAGAAGGGTCGAAAGAAATCCAATCACATCCATCATGATTCACCACCATATTCTTGATTCACTTGATACCTTGGTATAATACATATTATCTTTACAACTTTAATTGAATGACAGGCAATTCAACTATGTTATAGCTCATTCGTCAACATCACAACTATTAGAGATCTCTTCGTACTTCTTGTAATTCTCCCCATACGCCTCGATCTTCGCCATGATTGCCTTGTAAGCATCACTTCCAATTACTACTCGCAAAGGTGGATCTGAGAGTGTAGCAAGCTTGTACATTGCCTTTGCACCTTTCTCTGGATCTCCAGCTTGAGTTCCATTCCTCTTTTCCATTGCTTCCTTGGCATTCATATGATCATACGCAGGGTTTCGTTTCTCGGGAAATTGCATAGATCTTCCAGCCCAATCAGTTCGGAATCCACCTGGCTCAACACAAGTGAACTTGATGTTCCATTCTGGCTTCACTTCTTGATTGATACTTTCAGTAAAGCCCTCGACTGCCCATTTACTTGCACAGTAAATGCTGAAAAAAGGCACGCCTCTTTGACCTCCAATACTAGTGACTTGTTGAATGAGGCCGCCACATGGCTTTTGGTTTCGCATTACCTCCATTGCCTTTTTGGTTACGGCAAGAAGACCGAAGAAGTTTACCTCCATCTGAGTACGAGCTTGTTGCTCACTGACTTCTTCAAAGACACCGGCAAGGCCGTATCCTGCATTGTTGACGACTACATCGACGCGGCCAAATTTATCGGTTGCGGATTTGAAAGCATTTTCAATATCAGATTGACTAGTTACATCAAGTTTGAGGGCCAGAAAGTTCTGTTGCTGTTAGAGAGCTCTATCGTATGTGGCAGGGATAGTACCTTTTCACTTGTCCCCTTGAACTTTAAGGTCTCAGGCTTACGAGCAGTTGCGACGGCGATATCTCCTCTAGGTTGAGATCAGTCAAGCTTTATTTCAAAACATTTTTCAGAGAGCTTACTTATCGAGAACCTCTTGGACGAGATGGTTTCCGAACCCGGTGGAAGTACCAGTAATGAAAAAAACTCTGGGCATGATTGTTGTGATTGAAGGAACAGGTGTAGCTGGCCGATTATAGAGTGTTTCGTCTAGACTTCTTATATGAGAGTAATTTCAACAATGGCACTTACCAAATATATCTACTAACTCCACATATATACATCAGGATTGGTGTTAGGCCCGGATTTAGGGGGCAAACTCCAGCAGAAGCATAAGTGGGAACTGGACGACGTCATGATTAATCCATCAGTCGTTACCCAGATTTCATGCGTCACTATTCCTTCCAAGACTTAGTTGAATAGTTTAAGGAACTATTTAGCATTGACTTTGTTCCATCACAACTATTTGTAATAATAAGATAGGATTGAGGACTGGAGCATGTGGGGTGTGAGTAAAAGCGGTGAAATGGATGGCAAAAATCCAGTTCCGGCTCAACGTCATATTACAATTGATTCATTATAGTTAGACGAAAAGAAAATGACTTCGAATTGGAGAGAGCTGGGGGATTCAATGCGTCTTATCATAACTCACAAGCTATACACAAGCAGACGTTGATGTACAAGATCGGTAAGGAATTCAGTGTTAATTCGTCGGATTTTAAGATGGTACTACTATCCATACCACTTGTATTCACGGAGAAGCCCAATTGTGACTACCATATCTTCTTCAGATCGTCCATGAGTTCCCACAAATACATGACGCTTTTAAGCCATAAGCCATACCTCTCAGGTCCAGCTGTGTACTAGAATGGGGTTTTACCGTACCTTAAGGAGGTTAGCTGGTTAGTTGGTCAATTCAACCCCGCATTGTGATACCACACTCCCAAGGACTTTTCGTCTACGGATTGAAGATATGTTAGTATTGAAGATAGAGATTGCTGAACTTTCAATCCACGCCGTGGTCTCGGTATTCTTTAATAATTAGAGTTGGAAATATGTTATCCATCCCCTCTTATTGACAACCGAATCCTATATTTATGCCAACACATTAGTTAGTGTTGATAAGTGCAATACATGTATCGCTTTCGGTCACTTGCATTAGCCTCGGAAAGACACCCGTCATCGCACAGCTATTGTAATATATTCCATACAAGTACATATTGAACGATGCCCCCGCCCAGCAGCTCAAGTCCTCAACTCTAACCTCATCTATCTCATCCCCAAATCACTCACCCCAAGCAGCCTCAAAAATGCATGCCAAAGATCTCCCCTCCTTTAAAGACATACCCCCAGTCCCAGGAATGCCTCAAGGAACGGCCTGGGGTCTTTTTGATAAAAACGGCAAGCGAGATAATTGTGGCACTCTCAATTTACTCACAACCGAAAATACACTCGAAGCGAGTAAGGAGATAAAGTTTGGTAAAAGTGTTGCATTAAAGTGTGTCTTCTTCTCATTACCTTGCCCTGCTATTTCTATTTGTTCTGTGACTTGTGTTTTCATTTGATGGTCACCAGGAGATGAAAATAACAATGCATATATACTAACATCTGCTTGCTCTTCAAAGTTGGTCTCAAGACCGCATCCACGAACCTGGATTTGGTCGCGAGGTTCCAAAACATACTATTCGAGATCTGGCTCCAATTGGTTTCAAAGCATATGATGATGTGATATCTATCAATACGCAAAGCGGTTCTCAATGGGACGGATTTCGTTCGTCCTCCCCATTCCCTTCTTCCATTCAACATATCTCATGCATTTCATGCCTTTCTCTCTACTTCCCCTTCACAACGCAACCCTCCAACCCAAATTAACAAAACTCGCAAAGGTCACTGGGCCCACCAAGCCACATCCCTCTACTACAACAACCTCGCCCACTCCGAAATCAGCTCTCCCCGCCCGGGAACCCCATGCAAAAACGGAATCGAAGCCTGGACCACCCGCGGCGGCATCGTCGGACGCGCTGTCCTAATCGACTATGTAGCCTACGCTCAGCGCCACAACATTTCGTATTCCCCAGTCACGCGACACGAAATTAGTGTGGAGACAATCGAGGAAATTGCAAAAGAACAAGGAGTCGTGTTCAAAGAGGCGGATATCTTGATTGTGAGGAGTGGATTTGTAAAATGGTATGAGGAGGCGAATGCTGAAGAACGCATTCGAGGCGCGAAAAACGCCCATGAATTTGTGGGCGTGAAATCAGGTGAAGAAACAGTGGAATGGATATGGAATCAACATTTTTCTGCCGTAGCGTGTGATACGGTTGGGTTTGAGTGTTGGCCACCAGAGGCAAATTCGGAGTGGGTTTTGCATGATTGGTTGTTGGCTTTGTTGTGAGTTTGTGTTATTTTCTTCTCTCTTTTTCCCCTTTCTCTTCCTCCTTGTGTCAAATCGCTCTCCCCTCCCCCTCTACCTAGCCCCAAACAAATACCAGAATGTACACTAGCTTTCCATTCATCTACCCACATAAGCGCAAAACTGACTTCCCTGTCAAGCGGCTGTCCAATAGGCGAACTATGGAATCTAGAAGAATTGGCAAATGTATGCGCTGAGCAGAATCGATACTCTTTCTTTTTCACTAGTGCGCCGTTGAACTTTCCTGGTGGGGTAGCGAGTCCACCGAATGCTGTTGCTATCTTTTAGGTATGAAGTCATGAGAGTGAGAAAAATGAAATGATGGAAGATAACGAGAGTCGGAAAAGGGGACAGAGTGGTAATTGTAGTTAGATTTTCTTCAGATCTATTCCCAGTTCATCCGATTCAATGAAAAGTTGCATAAGATATGCCTTATTCCATTTCTCCCATAAATCTGTATCTATACCTCCCTCTTACCCACTGCTCCCAAATTAACTACATTCCTCAAATTGCCGAACGGCAAAACATCACTGATTCTCTTTGAACCACTCAACCACATAACCAATCTATCTACTCCGCATCCCCATCCACCAGTAGGTGGTAATCCGACTTCTAACGCTTGGATATATCCTTCATCCACTTTATCCATCGGATTCTCTATATCTTTAAACTTCAACTGTTCTCTGAACTTATATCTTTGTTCGAATGGTGAATTTTCCTCCTCGTACATATTCGCTATCTCTTGGTGCTGAATGAATAGCTCCACGCGCGCGGAGACAAGCTGGTTGGTTTGGGGATCGAGGAACGATTTGGAAAGGGGTGCCATGGAGGAAGGATGGTGCATGATAAATGTTGGTTTCGAGCAATGGGGTTCGATGTAGAGGGACGCAAGTTTATCCAGGAGACGAGGAAGGGTTGGGTTTTCGGGAACTTCGAGACTATGCTTTGTAAAGATTTCGAGAAGGTCTTTTCTGGCGTCATCTTTCTGGAGATCTGGTAGCTTTTCCCCAAGTGCAGCTTCGACCGCGGGTATGAATTCGATTCGTTTAAAGGGTTTTGTGTATAAATCCTCTTCGAAGGGTGGAAGATCGGCAAAAGGCATGTATTTGACTTGTTGAGGATCATCGCGCAGCCTATTAACAAGACTTACAAGTCCAGAAATCAACTTCTCGGTCATGGAAATGAGATCCTCGAGGTCAGCATATGCTTTGTAAAATTCACAAGTTGTAAATTCCGGATTATGTATCGCATCAAGACCTTCATTTCTGAACGCAGGGCCAATCTCGAAGACTCGATCTAAACCACCAATAACCAAACGTTTCAACCATAACTCAGGAGCTATCCTCAGAGCCAACTGTTTCTCGGGGAACTCCGTTGCATTCGTTTTGAATGGTTGAGCCATGGCACCTGAAGCCTTGTCGGCAAGAATCGGTGTTTGAAATTCGAGGAAATTGTCTTGAACTAGGAAATCTCGGATATGTTGTGTGATTTTGGATCGAAGCCGTAAAGTAGCAGCAACATCATTGTTGACAAGAAGATCAAGATGTCGATTTCGAATACGACTTTCTGGATCCTCCAACTTTTGAGGTACCGGTGCCAGACTTGGAGTCAATACCTTAGGTATTTCGATCAGTCTGAGAGTGGAAAACCCATTTTCTTTACGAATTGGATAACCAGTTGCAGCTGTTATATGTTAGATTCACAAACAACAGGAACACATAAAACCTTCACTCACAAATCATATCTCCACGTTGCATCAGATAGGTTAAGTTTTCGAAGGAAATTGGTGATTGCACATTGACATCTTGGTTTTTGGATATCATCCCAGATTCAGCTTCTAATTGAATTGAATAACCATCTTCTATTATATTCATAAAGACAAGCTTTGAGCCAAGCTTTCGTATACTTCCAATTCTACCTACAAAAAAATCAACTCCTATTCATTATCTGCTTCGAAGATGGTTCCTTACCATGCAACGTAAGAGCAATGGCTTCATCACTATCCACACCTGGTAACATTTCCGCACATTTCTCAAGACAACTTTTCACCGATGCGATTTTACCAACCTTTTTAATTCTAGGATAATGAAGAGCGCCAGCCAACTGAAGTTTTTTTATCCTAGTTTCGGTGGGATCTAAACCTTCTTTCAACTTTACCCTACGAATCTTGATGTTCTCTTCTGTCTCGCAGTAGGGTCTCTTCGACCTCTCACTGCGTAAAGAGTGATGTGTAGAAAAGAGTCGAGCGTATGCAGCTGGTTTTACCGGAAGAATATCATGATAGAGGTAGGGTCTAAGAAACCGAAGACCAGTAAGAGAACTCATTCTAAATTCTTTAAAGCGACTCAATTAGCTTAAATTTAACGGAAAACAATGTGAAATCAAATGCAGATATAAATATTGAGTTTTTTCAGACAACGGATCGATGTGAGATCAACCACTCTCCCGAAGAAGGGTGTCAGTCGCAACGGTTCTAATGTTATATGGAAATCATCATATAAACTCATAGTGAGATAGAGCAATAGAGCGAAGAAGAAATAGTATACATACCACTTGATTATTACACTCTCTCAGACCAATTGTTGGAAAGTAAGAGAGTGTTATTGTTGACGAAGAAATCAATTGAATTATTCGAAGCTCAGCTTCGAGTTTTATCTTCCAAAAAATGTGTATCTCCGGAACAATGATTTACCGGCGCTAGTCGAGCTTTCCCTTCAAAGTTTATCCACCTAGGATTGAATCGAAGATATCAAACCAAAGAA